AAATCGTGTTACAAGTCTTTATTGCTACTTGAAGGCATGTCTCAGTTGGAGATTAGGCTCAAGGATGTATTGGAAGTTTTGTTGCAGTCAAAGGTTCCTCTCAAAGTAAGAATCTTTGGCTGAAAGTTGATGTTAGATAGACTACCAACTATATTGAACCTTGCGGCTAGGGTGAAATCTTTAGTCCTCATGACACTGTCTACGTGTTTTGTTTCAATTATGTTGAAAAAGTTAATCATCTCTTTTGTTCATGCCCATGTATATGTCTTATTTGGAGGAAAATTGTGGGGTGGGTAGGGATTTATTGGATAGTGGGAGAAAATGTGTGTGATCACATGATGGAATGGTTTCTGAAAATGGTGAGTAAAAGTTTCAAGACAGCTGCGTGTATTATATTGCTTACAACATGTTGGTCTATTTGTAACCAGGTGATCTTTAACGATTTGGTTAGAAACCAGGCTGATATTGCTCTAAGGTTAATACATTGTTCATGGTAGTGGATATACTATTAGTCTCATTCAAAAGTGAAATGTTCGTATCATGAATAGTTTAAGTCTCCTATGAATTTTTTATGTTAGAAGTTCTTTGTAGTTTATAGTAGTAGGAGTGTTGTGTCTTTGTAATATGAGTTGGTGTACTCTTAGTATATTTTTTTTGGAATATATCATTGCTTATAAAAAAGTATGTTCCTAGATAAGCATGACTTTGTTATTATAATTGAATCTGAGATAGTGTAAGACACTTATCTGATTATATTTCATGTAGTTCAAAATAGTGGAAACCCATCGATACTCATAAATCCCTTATATGTAGAGATGTTAATTTTCTAGGATGACCTCAGAGTGGTAGCTTTCCGCATTGCGTCATCTTCTTATCCTCTTATGTTGTAGTGAACACCTTGGTTCTACAATGCAATTAAATCTAAAAAATGATATGAATCTTCTTGCCACCTCCTAAATTCTACTTGGCATCCCTTGTGCTTTTACTATAATACCTTTTGTAATTTTTTATGTTTTTGCAAAATTTGTGTGTTTTTCAGATTTTTGAAATTTTGAGTTTTTTCGAAATTTTTGTAGAACTTGACGAGTTTTTACCGAATTTTTGGGGGATTTATGAGTTCTTACTGAACTTTTAAAAAATTACCAGATTTGAACTACTAAAATTTTCAAAATCCTATGAGTTTTTACCGGATTTTTCAAATACACTATCAAAATTTTCAAAAAAGTATGAGTTCTTATGAGAGTTTTCAAAAAAGTAAAATTTTCAAAAAATCTATAAGTTTTTATCGGGTTTTTTAAAAAAAAGTATGAGTTTTATACCGGATTTTTCAAAAAGTCTATGACTTTTTACCGGATTTTTCAAAAAGTCTATGAGTTTTTACCAGATTTTTCAAAAAGTCTAAGTTTTTATCGAATTTTTCAAAAAATCTATGAGTTTTTATCGGATTTTTTAAAATACACTATCAGATTTTTAAAAACTATGAGTTTTAACCGAATTTTTCAAAATACACTACCAGATTTTTTTTAAAAACTATAATTTTTTAAAACTATGATATACTATATGATAGAGAATGGCTGCATGGAATGGGATGCATACCCTCGTCGACGCAATAGAGAATCACTATCTGGAAACCTGATGAGGTTGTCGAAACCATCAAAGCAGATCAAAGTTTTTTCAGAGCAGATGTCAATCACATTAACGTGATTAACTTTAATTGGAAATTGGCTAACATTTCGCCATCTAAACCTGCTGAAGAAGGTTATAAGTTTGAAGTACGCGAGGTATGCTACACAATGAACCTACACCCTCAGTACGAGTTTACCTGGTAGTACAAAATTGTCGGAGGATATAACCGATGATTTGAATTAAATGAATATCATGATTGAGTCAGACACATTGACTCGAATTTCGACCTATGTGGCTAAAAATAAAATATTGGTGGCCTTGGAGGCCGAGTCTCAACAAACACTTGTTGTTAAAGCCATTAAGCCTGAAAAGTCTTGGGCAAATCAATATGGCTTTAACAGCAAAACAACAACTTCAGAAAGCCGGAGGCTAGATTTTATCTATGATGATGAGCCTTTGGGGTTCGAGAAAGACCCACTAAGAAAATGCAGGCATAAGATCCTTTGGAAGAGATAGACTTGGGAGATAGGACGGTGAAGAGGCCGACATACATTAATGCCAAAATTGACCTACACTTAAAAGTAGAAGTAATCAAGGTGCTAAAAGAATTAAGAGATTGCTTTGCGTGGGACTATGATAAAATGCATGGACTCAGCCGCGACCTAGTCGAGCTAAAACTGCTGATCAGACTTGACAAGAAGCCAGTGAAGCAGACCATATGAAGGTTCGCGCCTAAAATCATGTCCAAGATCAAAGATGAGATTGAAAAATTGCTTCAGAATAAATTTATTAGGCCTTCCAGGTATGTCGAATGGCTTTCTAATATTGTTCTAGTTATTAAGAAAAATGGTACCCTTAGAGTCTGCATAAACTTTAGAGATCTTAATGTTGCAACTCCTAAAGACGAATCTCAAATTTCAGTGGCTGAGATGTTGTTTGATTCGATATCTGGATTAAAATATCTATGTCGCCTCGATGGATACTTTGGTTACAACCCAATTTTCATTGTAGAGGAAGACATAGCAAAAATGTTGTTTCGATGCCCAGGGGCCTTGGGCATATACGAATGGGTAATGATGCCTTTTGGCCTAAAGAATGTTGATGCTACTTACCAGAGAGTAATGAATTCTATGTTTCATGACTTTATTGGAACATTCATGCAAATGTACATTGATGACATTGTCATTAAATTTTCATCTAAGGATGGTCACCTCGACCACCTTCGACAATTGTTCGGAAGGACGAGGAAATATGGGCTTAAAATAAACTTGTTAAAATGTGCTTTTTGTGTTAATGCTTGAGATTTTCTTGGCTTTGTCGTCCATAAGAAGAGCATAAAGATAAATTCAAACAAGACAAAAGCCATACAAAATACTAAGTCTTCGACCAACAAAAAATAACTTCAGTCCTTGTTAGAAAAAATCAACTTTCTAAGAAGATTCATTTCGAATCTAAGTGGCAAGACAAAGGTATTTTTACCACTATTACGATTAAAGAAAGAAAAAGGTTTCAAGCGGGGACCAGAACATCAGCAAGCCTTTGATGAGTGAAAGTTACCTGTTGAACCCTCCAATGTTATTACCTTCAATGAGGAACAAAACCATGAAGTTGTACATTTATGCATCTGAGTTGATAATTGGGAGTATGTTAGCCCAAGAAGATGATTATGGCGTCAAAAGAGCCATATATTATTTAAGTCGAATCATGAATAATGCTGATACTAGATACACTATGGTAGAAAATTTTCTCATATGGATTGTTATTAGTTTGTTAGAGTTGTTCCTATTTTCAAGCTTTGAAAGATAGATCAACAACCTACATGTAGAGGTATGTCTTGTGTCATAAAAACAATAAGAATACAACATATTTTTCAAGTTAACTTTCTATTAAGTATGATGTTGAAACAACTACTAAAGACTTAGAGAAGTCGCTTAAAGATGATAAAAAGAAGTCGAGGATTGATCCTAAGAAATTGAAAAATATTAAGGAAATTGTTGAAAGTGTCGATATCAAAGTTATGGACTTAATGTTGAGGATTGAGGGGTTTGAAATCGGGGTGAAGAAATTGAAGACTCGCACAACCAGTCTTTGTTAGAAAAAGTTGGATATTAAAAGATCAAGAGCTTATATTTGCTAGAAAATGTTGACGAGCGACTAATTATGAGTTAGAAACTGTTGTAACAAACAATACCAATTAACAAATTCTTGATTGAGAAAACAAAGTTTTTTGATGAACAATGAAATAATTAGGTTAACAAAGAGAGAAAGAAAAAAGAAGAAGAATAAGATTCGACAAACTGTTTTTCTATTCACTTACTCAATTAGGATACAAATGATTATGAGTGAATAACAACAATTGACATCTCTCAACAACCTGAGAGATCTAGCCTATTTATAGGCTACTAAGTTAACTTAAACAACAAGTTAACCTAAACAATTAGATCCATAACATAAGATCAATCGACATTACATTTCGACATTACATACTAGAACTAACTTCGACTACAACATGTAACACTTTGACATCAGCATGTGAACCAACTTCATCTTCATGCTTGTCTTCTGTCAAAACATGAAAGTTATCTCTGCTAACAACATATCTGTTAACAACACTAGAGTTCGATCAAATATCTCATAGAAATTAAGTTTTACGATTTGCTGTAGGTTTTATTAGTCATTATTCAATTAAAATTGGTGGCTCTGACTTTGATGTGTTTGAGGTAAGCTTTGTCGAGTAAATTAAGAACAACGTGTTGATTGAGGTCATTGATAGCAAAGAAAATAAATAGAATATTGACATCGAAGATAATGATGATATTGTGGATGAAGAAAATGACCAACTTAAGCTTAATGAGAAGATCAAAGTCATTAACGACAAAAATAATCAACCTATGATCATTGAAGTCAAAAAGCTTAATGAAGTCCTGGCTAAACAAGTCAATGGTAAATCTAAGGTAAAAACAATGGTAAAATAGATGCTAGTATTAAGGGTATTGGTAATACCTTAATTTTCGGGATGCATTGAATTTTTTGTAACTTATTTTTTAGCTCACATGTTTGACGAATGACAAATACAATTGTACTTCGTAACTTATGCAAACTTTAATTTATTTAAGAATTTATTTGTTATTTTCGAGGGGAAATTACCCTCACATTTTCAAAGGTATGTTAAAATGGCTTCAACATTCATTATAGTTTTAAAATATGCATTTTTTAAAAATTTACATAAGTCAATATAATTTTTTAGTAATAGAAAAAAAATCATACATAAATATTATTTATACTCACAATTTTTAGTTATTATTATAAATTAGTGAAAACTGTTAAAGCCATTTTTATAGACTTCAGAAAAGAAAGGAAAAGAGAAGAAAACAATGCGCGCGATTCCAGTCTCCACAGAAACTTTCCTATTCCCTCAACCATCACACACTCCCATTCCCATTACCCATTCCTCCACTCTTCTATACCCTCATCCTTTTCGTCTCAACAAAACCCTTTCCACCACACCACGCTCCTTCAACTCTAAAACCACTCTCTTCTTCTACCCAGCTTCCAAATCCAACAACCCACTCACTCTGGACGACGATAACGACGACGATGATCCTGGAAATTTGTTGCTCACACATGATACCCAACTTCAAGACCCGGATTCGCTGGTTGAGGATGGGGTTTTCATACAAGTCACCAAGCTTGACAACAATTCACGCAGAATCGAGTCCAGGATTTCAATTCACGCTTCACTTGATTCCATTTGGAATATCTTGACTGATTATGAGAGGTTGGCGGATTTTATTCCTGGACTTGCTCTTAGTAAATTGATCCAAAAAGCTCCCAATTTTGCTAGACTTTTGCAGGTCATTTTTTTTTCTTTTTTCTTGTTCATGAATTTGGTTTGAAATACATTTTTTTGCTGACCCATTATCATCTCAACAGATTGGAGAGCAGAACTTGGCATTTGGGCTAAAATTTGATGCCAAAGGAGTTATAGATTGTTACGAGAAAGACTTGGAGACTCTTCCATCTGGTACAAAGCGTGACATAGACTTCAAGATGATTGAAGGGGATTTTCAACTCTTTGAAGGAAAATGGTCTATTTCACAGGTAGGGTTTTTGTTTATAACTTTCTTGTTAGAATTCTTCTGGATCCAGCAAAAAAAAATGGATACTTGCGCGAATTAGTTACTTTCCTACTTCACTGTATTTTTCAAATGTTGAAGATTTAGGACTGAATTGGTTTGAGAAAACTTGTTTTTGTTTTTCTTTAAAATTGATACATTCATTTGATTTGTTTTCTATTTTCAAAATTTTGTATAAAATCATAAAACCAGTTTTCCATTATTTTCACTACTTGCTATGCTGGTCTTGGAAAAGATGAAAAATTGTGTAACTTTTATAATTAAAAGCAAAAATAGGGAAAAATAAATCTGAATATAGTAGAAAACTAGGAAAACTGTTTCTTAAATCAAACTTGATCTAAGTTTCAAAAATTGACATAATCTTTTGAATGGATAGTGGCGTGTGTCTTTGTGACCAACCTGGAATGATGTCCATCATATCTTGGAAACTCAAATTTTGTACTAGTAATTTAAACTATTGACCAATATTGACAAAAAGGAATCTTGCTTGCTTTTGGCTTGACTCTCATGAGTCTCGTCATCACATAGGCAACCTTCCTCAATTTTCAATACATGTTCATCGACTTTGTTTTGAAGATCATAAGTTTGTGATATTTTGAAATCATATATTCAAAGAAATTGACACAGACAGTGCTAACTTCTTAGAGCGATGGTTTTGCAGCTTTTTAGCAGTGGAAGTAATGATGAGTCTCCAATACCAGAGATTAGCACGACACTTACATACATTGTTGACGTTAAGCCGAAGATGTGGTTGCCCGTTGGGCTCATAGAGGGTAGACTTTGTAAAGAGATAAAAAAGAACCTTATATCCATAAGGGGCGAAGCTCAGAAAGCTACTGATAGAACTGTGGATGTAAATCAATTCGGATGAGTTATGTAAATATTATCATAGTAAAAATGAATACAAGTCAAATTCATTGTGTCAATTCTCACTTTGTAAAGTTGCAAGGTTGGCCATATTCTGTTCCTAAATTATGTTCAAGTTCTGGACTGGTCCAAACTTTGATATTTACTTTGAACCCTTTATACTCACTTAGAAAGTGCCAGTTGCTATTTTCTGCTACTGGCAACAGTTCCAAATACTGCTGAATGTAGAATTTAAGCTATGTTAGTGCAAAGGTCTGTAACACAGGTATCCATGAAGTTGGAAATGTTTGGCTGACCAACAATGATAACCACACCCAATGAAAAGATTGACTTAAGAATGCAGTACTCATAGATGAATGATGGTTGTTGTTACTTTGATTAGGGTGGATTTATATAGTAAATAAGAATACTAAAATATTTTAGTTATAACATAGTATTGGTATTTTACATTGAGAATTTAGTGCAATTAATATTTTTTGAGACGTTTGCATATATTACTCATATCAAACACATACTTGAGTCTCTCATTGAATTTCTGAATGATATCAATGATACCTATAATAATGAGAACATGTCAACATAGAGACAACTAACAAAATCTGTGAATTCGATACCTTTTATGTATACACAATTTAATTGACTTATGAGGAAGAAGCTCAACAAGTGGCTGTGTTATTTCTCTCTAGCATTTCATCTTGCTCATTTGATCTATGTTGTGGATATGCAAAGGCTTTCTACCAACTGATTGGCCCAGCCCGGTGTCTGCCATGAAAGCCAGATGTACCAACTCTCCATCGTTGATTGCATTATCTGAAAGGACCTCAAGATCATTGATTCTTTATTAGAGAAAATCCTTTTCTTACTGATTTTTGATTAATATGTGATTCATCTTTAGGAGGTGGTTCATCATTTACACATTATCTGATTGAAATGTAACCATGTTATATGGCATTCCTTCTTGATTTTAGCATGCTTTTCCATCTATAGTGACATCTTTATTGATGACAACCTTTTGTTGGTGAGGATCAAACAACTTGCATGCTCCTCTAGAATCATAGCCAATCAAGATCAATGTGCCACTTTTATCAACCAATATCCTATTCTTTCATTTGGAACATTTGTGTAACATAAAGATCTAAAAAAATCCTTTAAGTGTGTGACACTTGGGTAGTTACTCGACAACAATTCTTCCTATGTGATGTCTCATAATCTCCTTGTTAGGCGCCTATTAAACACATAAGCAACAATAAACATTGCCGCTCCCTAATATGACTTTAGAAGATGTTTTCCCTTCAATATACACCTTGTCATATCAAGTAATGCTATGTTTCTTTATTTTTGTTAATCCATTATAATGATAAGTATATGGTGTTGTATCTCTTAGATTGTCTCATTCTTGACACTAAAGTATTGACAACAATTCTTCCTATGTGATATATCATAATCTCCTTGTTAGGCGCCTATTAAACACATAAGCAACAATAAACATTGTCGCTCCCTAATATGACTTCAGAAGATGTTTTCCCTTCAATATACACCTTGCCATATCAAGTAATGATATGTTTCTTTATTTTTGTTAATCCATTATGATGATAAGTATATGGTGTTGTATCTCTTAGATTGTCTCATTCTTGACACTAAAGTATTAACACTCCTTAAAATTGTACTCTCCTCAACCATTAATCCTAAGAACCTATAGTCAATTTGTCTTTCAACAAGGGCTAAAACTTGGTAAAAGACAAAAGTACTTCAGTTATTTCTTTCAACAGTCATATCTTTCTTTCTTGCAAGCTCATTAACACATGTTTTCTATATAAATGAAACTTAAATAGGGCCGCAAACATCCCAGTGAACTACATCCAATCATTTTTATTGATATAGAAAATATTGAAAATTTGAAAGAGTTCTTTGGTTGCTTGTTGTCTAAACAATCTTGCCTTAATTGCTTTTGTCTTATTAACCCCCACATTCCATTTTTTAGAACCTTTTCCTTTATATCCTTTTAGTTTCATCTTAGGATTATTTTTCAGTGAATTTTGAATCCTCTTGCTAAGTCATTTAGTACTCATCATCTTCACATTGTATTCTCTAGAGCAATTGTGAATATCAATTATTTTCCTAAGTTGTCGTGTCTCCTCATTAGGCAACTTTCCACAATATGCAGACCACTGACAACCTTCCTTACACACCACCCTCACTTTTTGTTTGTCATTTTATAAAAACTTTAGAGCTCTCCCAGATTGGACATCATAAGTTTGAATTGCTTCCTTAAAGTCACTTTTTGTACTAAAATAAGTTCTTAACTCCCATTTATAATTAGACATATCTTTCATTAACTTGAACATGCAATACTTCTTCTTTCTTGGTGCATCACTCCCCTTACTATCACAACCACTTTCTAACTCCTCACTATCATATGCACTTCTATTCTCCTCTCCATTGTCTCCTTCCAATTTCTTTTTCTTCTTTTTACTTGTTCCTTCATGGTTTCCATCATATTCAACTAGGTTGTCTAAAAATTCTTTAGAATAATCCAAACTCATGTCAGAATCACTAAATGCAACTTTCAAAGCACTGTCGTAATTGTATGTTTCATCCCCACTGTCACCAAAGCTTATAAACATTCAAAAAACCAACATTAGTATCTATACCATCATGCACCTCACCGTCATTGTTCAAATACTCAGGACATACATTCACACTCTAAATACCATCGTTGTTCAAATCCTCAGAACCTACATTCACACCCTCAATATCATATTTGTTCAACTCCTCAGGACCTACGTTCACACCATCAGTACCTACATCCACACTCTCTACAACATCATTATTCACACCCTCGCTACCTTTCTTATCATCCTTAGTGACTTCTTCATAAAGATCTTCAAGTATGGCTTCTACGTCCGGTTTAAACACACTTATAGGTTCTTCATGTATGACTTCTTCCTCCATGTTTATAGGTTCTTCTATAGGACTATCAACATATTCTGGTTGGGATAGGGAATCTTCTATGTAAATATCAACTATCAAGTGTACCCTACAGAGGTCAGCAACCTCTAACACACCTTTGTCATCATTAAGAACATTCATCCCAAAAGTGGGGTCATTATAATATATGGTGTCTACCTCAGTATAACATGTACTTTCAGAACACCAACCAATTTAAAGTAACTTCACTGATCCACGTCTACTTCTAAATCATTGCATTTACCCCCACATACACAGTTTTTTTCAGAGTCCACAAACTCACCACTATGATGAATAATAGGTACATAATAGTGTAGTTGTGAATATAAAAAAATATATCAAATTACATTTGTTTAAAAATATTTAAAAATGAGAGAAAGTTAATTAATTTCATTGTAAAATAATAAAAATGTTACAAATATATAAAATATTTATTAATTGTAGTTTTAATTATTATGGTTAAAAGTGATACTTGTCGGCAAAATAATTTAAAGTGGTGATTGACGGTGATTATTGTAATGTTTTAATTAATACCAACATTATTATTCAATTCAAATAAAAAGTAAAAAGAATAAAGAGACATAAAATTTAACTCATTAAAAAGCTAACAAAAATAATAGTTGGATATTCTAAATTTATTTTTCAAAAAACTTTTAAAAGCATTAATAGGAAGTCAATTTCACTCAATGTCATAATAAAAAAAATTATTGGCTAATATATTTGCATATGTGTTTCTCTTTAAAAATGTGAGATATCTTGAATTTAAAAAAATTTATCATGTGTAAAGTATTTTTACATTTAATTAAAAAATGGCAAAAGACAATATTGATATTATAAAATACACATATGACTGACATTGAGTCAATTTCAAGTTTAAAATTTCTCAAATTTCTCCCGTTAACTAATTCGAGATGACTGACATTGAGTCAATTTCAAGTTTAAAATTTCTCAAATTTCTCCCGTTAGCTTGAAAGGTGACTATAATAATGTTTTTATTAATACCGACATTATTATTCAATAAAAAGAAAAAACAAAAAAAATAAAGAGACATAAAACCTAACTCATTAAAAAAGTAGCAAAAATAATAGTTGAATATGTAAGTTTATCTCTCAAAAAAACTTTTTAAAGCATTAATAGGAAGTGAATTTCACCAAATGTCATAATAATAATAAAATGCATTGGCTAATATATTTGTATATGCATTTTCTTTTAAAAATGTGAGATATCTTGAACCTAAAGAAACCTATCGTGTGTAAAGTATTCTTATATTTAATTAAAAGATGGCAAAAGACGATATTGACATTAGAAAATGTACAAATGACTGACGTTGAGTCAATTTTAAGTTAAAGATTTCTCAAATTTCTCCCGTTGGCTTATTCGATAACGAACATGTTTTCAGCAATTCAAATTGAAAGGTGATATAAACTCCATTCTCAATTTAGAAAACCTCCACACACAAAAAAAAATATATATTTCTAAACTATCCTTAAATATGCCACCATAAATTGAAAGTCTAAGATTTTCCTATTAAAGATCTACTTCTGTTGCAATTAATTCAATTATGACTAGAAAACACAAATTAACTTGTATAATTCTAGATGCAGGAGATACTCGACATTTAATATTAAATTATTTAATAATTATAAATATGTGAATTAAAGAGTACATGTTTCCCTTGAAAGAAGATGACATATATACCAATTATTTAACATGAAGATTGTCTTCATCAAAGTCTATTTTACCATCTTTTAAATCTGATATTATTTCTTGTGTGTCAAGTTTTTTAAAGAGTTATTATGATGAAGAGTTATGATCAGATTCTTAATTTGAGAGTTCCAACTTCTACCAACAACTTTGAATAAACTTTTATAACTAGTTCTATTAATTTTCATATCAAATAACGCTCTATCCAATGTTTAAAAAGTAAGATGTACTTGAATCTAAGAAAAAGTGGCCTGTAGTTTCTACATCATGATCGTAGAGAGATCATCTCTAAACCATATGCATTTTCCTTCGAATCAAATTAATGGTTATAAG